CCACTTGAGTCAGCAATGACCCCTATAAATCAGGTGCTTTTGTGCACACCCTCATTCTACTGGTGCATACTCCTAACATGCTGTTGTTGAAGATGACCCGGAGGGTACTACTTTCCCTTCACCGATTGTTAAGTGTCTATGATGATTAGCATTTGTTTGTGGGCAGTGGAGCAGGTTTCTATGCCCATCCCCACCCCATCCCCCATTTCACAAGATAAGCCTGGTAAGAGAGAGGTGTTTGTTTACTGTAGTCTATTCTATAATTTTTCTCTCTAATTTCCAAATTAAATTAATCTTCTCATATGACAAACATATCTTTAGCTCAGAAATAATGTTCGTAATTGTGTTGAGCCTAGGTTAGGTTTCTTTTGAACTCAGAGGAGAAGAAATGTAGAAATACTGCTGTCTTTTCAGAACATTGCCAATACATCAGAGCCTGAGTTTTAATTTGGCTTGTAAAAGGAAGATGCACAAAGTTACTGAACTCTTGCTCCTACCAAGTTTGTCTCCCACTATTTTTTAAACATCCAGGGTAGAATGGATAAATGACAGAGCATCTCTGGGAGTAGCCAGGTTCTGGATGCTCTCTTCCTCTTTGAAATGAGGAGTCATAGGCATCTGACGAAGGTGTGTTTAAACAGCTAAACAGCTCTTGGTCTGTTTCGGTCCCTTTTTCTAAGCATGGTTCTTCTTCAGTCCAGTACTAATTTTGGTGATATGTAAGGTTCTATGTGGTTAGACATTGTCAGGTGCTAGAGATAGAAAGAAAACAGTATTTCTGAACAGAAGATGGCCCCAGTTCTCTCTTCTATGCAACAAAGAGTACTTGGCTCCTGACATAGATTGTGGATATCAAATAATTCAGAATCATCACAGTGTCTCCTTTTTTATTCCTTTTCCCCCTTTCCAATTTTATTTTAATAATTAAAAATACTGCTGATCACACTGAATGACTTCTAACAGAGAGGCAGTCTGTCCCAGAAGGACCAGTTGTGGGCCATCGGGTTTATGACGACCATAAAACCAGAGCCAGATCAGAGCGTGGCCTCCCTGAGTGACAGGATTTCTGCCTCCACCAGGGTCCCCTATCAACTGACTGCTTTGGATATTTGTTTTGGTTTGTATTTTTTGTTCTGTTTTGTTTCCTGATGCGTGTGTGAGTGTTCATATGTGTGCACATTTAAAGATATAAATGAAACAGGTATGTAATGCCCTCTGCCTGTTAGAAAGACTAAAGCCATAAAAATAACAAACGGCGTGTATTTGCTAGAATGTCAAAGTTATGAGTTTATTTTGTAATGATGTGCTCCTGCCTTCATGAGGTAAACTGGCCGTGGCGGAGGTGTTATTAGTAATATGGACTCAGTGGAGCAGAAAGCCGAGTGACCGAGAGATCAGTGTATCAGTCAGAGAGAGGGCAAATGGAAAGAGACAGCAGGAGAATGAGAAAAGAGCTGCAGTGGCTTGGCTGAGATTAAAGAGGGGCTGAGAGGAGGATGGGAGCCCAGTGGTCAGATATGGTCTCCCTGGTTTGTGGAGATCCTTCAAAGGAGCTGCCAGCATGTTGCTCAGCTTGGGGCTGCCTGTAAAGGCTTGTTCTCTGTGCTTCCTTATCAAGGAAAACAGTAATCTGAGAGCAATTTTGCTTTCCATATTCCTTTCAGAAAAGTCTTTTACACCCTTCCTAGTTGAAGTTAAATAGAACCAAGGCCAGCTGGGTCACACTGAAGTTATTACTTTGGTTACCAACTTCCTCAGCTTTTGGAGGGTCTTGATGTAGGGGCTGACCCAGCATTCAGGGAAACTTTTCCAACCTCCTAACAAGAAGGAGTAAAATGGGAATATACGGTAGAATTTGCTGGCCTTTAACTTGTTAGATTCTCCCCAGAGACTGAAAATGAATAAAAGCTAGTAAGGAAGAAATTTTGTGTTGTCGTTATTTTTTAAAGGAGGAGGGGAATGGGAAAAGAAAAGGTAAAATACAGTAAGTGCTGTACAACTGTTTAGAGCTCTCCAGTGCTACCCTAGATGACTGGCAATTACTACACACTCAGCAGTTTGCAATAGTCAGTGATCAGTCTGCCTGGCTTCCATCCGGTGGGTCAGAAAACCTCCCTCCCTGAAAGAAATTATTAACCAATCTTCAAGGGAAAGAGAAACCCTACAATTTCCAAGTCCAGAATAATTTTTCTTCCTTTTTTTCTTCTTTAAAGGAAACTTTGTGGTTTCCAGTTGCAGAAGGCCTTCAGCTTTATAAGGGTTAAACCCTCCAGGGATATATGGGGGATTGAAGCCCTGAATTCCCTGAAGCCTTGGAAGGGAAGGAAGCAAAGGAGATGGGGAGAAATGGGCTTGAGTAAATGGGCTTGAGCCCTGCACCCGGCGTACACAGAGGACTTGAGTCAGGGGTTCGTGTTTGTATCATGAGTTACTTCAGGATTTTGCTAGTCTTAGGGCTTGTGTGTGGGGGACTAATTTTAAAAAGCAAATCTAAGAAAAAATAATCCTTTCTAAAAATGAAGAACCCAAACCCTCACCCCACAGTTACTTTTTTTTTTTTGAGTTGGAGTCTCACTCTGTCACCCAGATTGGAGTGCAGTGGCCGCTCCTGGCCACCGCAGTCTTGACCTGCTGGGCTCCGACGATCCTTCTACCTCAGCCTTCCAAGTAGCTGGAACTACAGGTGAGGGCTACCACACCTGGCTAATTTTTTGATTTATTGTAGAGATGAGGTCTCATCAAGTTGCCCAGGCGAGTCTCAAACCCGCGGGCTCAGGCAGTCCACTCACCTTGGCCTCCCAAAGGTGCAGGATTACAGGCTGAGCCACCGAGCCCGGCTCCCACAGTTCCTTTTTTTTTTTTGAGTTGGAGTCTCACTCTGTCGCCCAGACTGGAGTGCAGTGGCCGCTCCCGGCCACCGCAGCCTCGACCTGCTGGGCTCTGGCGATCCTTCCTCCTCAGCCTTCCAAGTAGCTGGAACTGCAGGCGCGCGTTATCACACCCGGCTAATTTTTTGATTTATTGTAGAGATGAGGTCTCATCAAGTTGCCCAGGCGAGTCTCAAACCCGCGGGCTCAGGCAGTCCACTCACCTTGGCCTCCCAAAGGTGCAGGATTACAGGCTGAGCCACCGAGCCCGGCTCCCACAGTTCCTTTTTTTTTTTTGAGTTGGAGTCTCACTCTGTCGCCCAGACTGGAGTGCAGTGGCCGCTCCCGGCCACCGCAGCCTCGACCTGCTGGGCTCTGGCGATCCTTCCTCCTCAGCCTTCCAAGTAGCTGGAACTGCAGGCGCGCGTTATCACACCCGGCTAATTTTTTGATTTATTGTAGAGATGAGGTCTCATCAAGTTGCCCAGGCGAGTCTCAAACCCGCGGGCTCAGGCAGTCCACTCACCTTGGCCTCCCAAAGGTGCAGGATTACAGGCTGAGCCACCGAGCCCGGCTCCCACAGTTCCTTTTTTTTTTTTGAGTTGGAGTCTCACTCTGTCGCCCAGACTGGAGTGCAGTGGCCGCTCCCGGCCACCGCAGCCTCGACCTGCTGGGCTCTGGCGATCCTTCCTCCTCAGCCTTCCAAGTAGCTGGAACTGCAGGCGCGCGTTATCACACCCGGCTAATTTTTTGATTTATTGTAGAGATGAGGTCTCATCAAGTTGCCCAGGCGAGTCTCAAACCCGCGGGCTCAGGCAGTCCACTCACCTTGGCCTCCCAAAGGTGCAGGATTACAGGCTGAGCCACCGAGCCCGGCTCCCACAGTTCCTTTTTTTTTTTTGAGTTGGAGTCTCACTCTGTCGCCCAGACTGGAGTGCAGTGGCCGCTCCCGGCCACCGCAGCCTCGACCTGCTGGGCTCTGGCGATCCTTCCTCCTCAGCCTTCCAAGTAGCTGGAACTGCAGGCGCGCGTTATCACACCCGGCTAATTTTTTGATTTATTGTAGAGATGAGGTCTCATCAAGTTGCCCAGGCGAGTCTCAAACCCGCGGGCTCAGGCAGTCCACTCACCTTGGCCTCCCAAAGGTGCAGGATTACAGGCTGAGCCACCGAGCCCGGCTCCCACAGTTCCTTTTTTTTTTTTGAGTTGGAGTCTCACTCTGTCGCCCAGACTGGAGTGCAGTGGCCGCTCCCGGCCACCGCAGCCTCGACCTGCTGGGCTCTGGCGATCCTTCCTCCTCAGCCTTCCAAGTAGCTGGAACTGCAGGCGCGCGTTGCCACGCCTGGCTAATTTTTGATTTATTGTAGAGATGAGGTCTCGCCAAGTTGCCCGGGTGGGTCTCGAACCCGCGGGCTCAGGCAATCCACTCACCTCAGCCTCCCAAAGCACGGGATTACAGGCTGAGCCACCAAGTCCGGTTTCCACAGTTTCTTTAACTGAGATTTGTCACTAAAGATTGTCAAAAGATAGTCATGTTGCTTTGTTTTGGTTTGTTTATACACGAAAAGACCATTATATGGTGAGGTAGCCTCACCCACCAGTGCAATTTCAGCTGAGTGGAAGTGTGCTGCTCCACTATGGCTAGTAGGGAGAGAGAGAGAGAGAGAGACAGAGAGAGAGAGAGGCTTGCTGGTTTTTAAATTGCAACAGTGTATGTGGTCGTTAAAAACTTTTTTTGTTTTCTCAGTTTTCTTTTTAGAAGAAGGTACATCGAGACCCGCCTGGACAGGCGAGACCTCATCTCTACAATAAAATCAAAAAATTAGCCACGCATGGTAGCGCGTGCCTGTAATTCCGGCTACTCAGAAGGCTGAGGCGGAAGGATCGCTGGAGCCCAGCAGGTTGAGGCTGCGGTGGCTGGTAGCAGCCACTGCACTCCAGTCTGGGCAACAGAGTGAGAGTCCAACTCAAAAAAAAAAAAAAAGAAGGTACAGGTAGTCTCCCAGAACAATGCATGGAAGCTGGAGTCTCTGTCTTGTGGAGAAAAGAACCCATTTTAGTGAGAATTATGAAATAGGCTATGCTTTTATTTCTGTAGAGAACAAATGTCTTTTTTCTTGCTGTTTTATCTAGGTTCTTGGGCGGGAAGTATATACCTCCAATAATCAGCTCGGGGGCATCCAGATCATGCACAACAATGGGGTGACCCACTGTACCGTTTGTGATGACTTTGAAGGGGTTTTCACTGTCCTGCACTGGCTGTCTTACATGCCTAAGGTGAGCCTTTCTACCCAGCACTGAAATAGCCTGCAGAATCCAGTATTTCCACCACAGTTCACTGCCTCTGTGTTTGAGGTCTTGTCTTTATGGTGGGAAATTTTTAATGAAATATTCTCTAAAAGCTGTTGATTTCTTTTTTTCTTAAAGCTGTCTTTTGCCTTCTACCTTTAAATGTCTGTCTGCCCCAGAAGGACCAATAAAGTGCCCTTGGAATTCAGTAGTTAGGTCTCTTTCTAATGTTTTCCACCCATGGAAACCTTCGTGGGCTTTCTAGGCTCAGATCCCAAAATATTAAGGCTTCTTCCTTATTGTGGTTTTTCTCCTTTTTAATAGCCATCCATCCCTCAGGGGAGCTTCCCAGAAACCATGGGCACACTGGAATCAGGAGTCAAAACATGCCACTTTGTATACCAGGCTCCTAAATGAGACTTTAGACCCATACATGTTCATTGTGTCTTGTCACATAATTGGGGTGCTTCTAGCTAAAGACTGAGGCTAATGGGTATAATTCTGTATGTGAGCTCTGCTGTCTTTGTCTATAGCTATAGTTGCTGAGTCAGAGTATAGGACTGTTTGTCATTAATTCCTCGGCTCTTTTGCTTCCAATTTAGAGTGTGCACAGTTCAGTTCCTCTTCTGGACTCTAAGGATCCCATAGACAGAATCATCGAGTTTGTTCCCACAAAGGCACCATATGATCCTCGATGGATGCTAGCAGGCCGTCCTCACCCAAGTATGTATATGTTTGAAGACCCTGTGGTACCTGGCTCTCACGCTTTTAGTCTTCCTTTCAATTACTGTTCAATTCTTTTACAATAGCATGTGACTATGAAAATAGCTAAATACCTAGAAATCAGAAAGATCTGAAAAACAGCTCTCTGAAGAAAAAGAGGAGAAATCCTTCATGAGCAAATGAAAAATAAATGAATTGAGATTTACAAATCAGCCTTTGAGTCAAGAAGTGCAGTCATAAATATGTTTCTTTTATTTATTCTGTTATTTTAAAGCAGTTATTGTCAGGCCTAATGACACATGCCTATAATCCCCACACTTTGAAAGGTCGCGATCGAGGGATTACTTAAGCCCAGGAGTTCGAGAACAGCCTGGACAACATAGCCAGACCTCGTCTCAAAATAAATAAAATAAAAAATAAAATAAAAAATTAGCCAGACATGGCTGTGCACACCTGTAGTTCCAGCTACTTGGGAGGCTAAGGCAGGAGGATCACTTGAGCCTAAGAGGTCAAGGCTGCAGTGAGCTCTGATTATACCACCGTACTCTTGCCTGGGTGACAGAGCAAGACCCTGTCTCGATTTAAAAAAACAAAAACAAACTTATTTAATGAGGTCAAAGACTTTAAAACAGTTCAATATAAACCATAAAATCAGTAGGACTAGAATCTTTAACCATCTAGTCCCTATAAACAAATAGAAATTGATCAGGTCAATTTTAGAAAATGTCTTTGAAAGACCCTTAAATGTATATAGGGTATGACTTCTCAGCAAGCAGTTACTGAGTACCCACCTGCATGTGCCCTTTTTTTTATGATATTGGTGCCTGCTTCAGTTACTTTGTAAGATAATTTATTCATGAAGAGCTTGTCCATGGCTTTTAATTCTCTATATAAACAGAGTAGAACAAGCCCTCCCATTGGGCTTATGTAGTACATCCCTTTGTCTTTGGGCTGATTTTACCTAACTTAAAAATATCAGAAAAAAGAGGTAACCCTATGTAAGGCAAATGTACTTTCTCATTTGTCAGTGCATTTAGCTGTTCCAGCAAACCTTATTTATCAGGAGGTTCTTTTGTGGAGCCCCAAATCCCTCTATTACATTTTGCATCTATTTTTTCAGTTTGGGTAAGGAAGCGTTTGTTCATTTTTGCATGCTTATTGCAACTATTTCAAAGAAAGACTATATATAAAAGTAGATTGAATTGCAAAAGATATTCCATTAAATCTAAGAGTCGTGAATTTGCTGAAAGAGAAAGAGGTCTTCATAAGGAAGACTTAATAAACCTTTGTGGGTATCCACTGTAATCCAGATGGGACTATAGAGCACTTTCATGTACATATCTTATTTGAACTTACTACTTTTCATAGATAAAGAGACAAAACCATTTTACAAGCTCAGAGAAATTGAGGGATTTGTGTAATGTCACACAGCTATTACTTAGGATCTGCTCGGGGGCTTCATCTGTAACCTAACTTTAGATATTGTAGAAAACAATAAAAAAAGTTTAATTTGTAATTTTACCTGTAGTCTTCAGTACCTTTTCTTGCTAATCTTAATACAACTAAATAATTTTCTTACGTAGCCAGAAAAATCATCATAGTAATTTTCTCCCTACCTCTTATTTTTATATCATGATTATGATAAGAACTGTGAGCCTGAGATACTGATAAAAACAATAAGCCTAAGATATCTAGCAGTCTAAAACTCCAGGATTTTTCTGGGAACAAAGTGGGCCTCTTTACTTCTAGGCATTCAGAACTAGAGTCAGTGAATGTTCTCCTGGGACATATGGAGAGCCATCTTAGCTTGCTTCTAAGATCTGTGTCTAAACTGGATATGATCTCTCTAGGGACTTTGAAGCCAAACTATAGTAGCCAGTGACCACACCCCTCCCACAACATATCAGGCATGAGCATTTTTAAAGAATAAAACATTTCCATTTTGAAATTAATTCTGTAGTTTTAAGTCATTCTTATTGAAGTAAAAATCATAAAATGATTCAAGCATATAAAACCAAAATTTTGATATTCAAATGGACCTAGATATTTGGTTTAGAACCTTCATCAAAATGTGAGCCCTTCTTCTGTGGGGTGAACAGAAGTATGTGTGTGTAGGTGGGCATTATCCTGGCCATTATTGATGAGATTCACAGAATAAAATGAAATTTGTGATATACCAAGTTTTCTGTTTTTTGGATAATATTTTTTCATTGACTCCCTAGTAATTCATCCTGCTGTCTATGTGCAGCTAACACTCGCTCCCAAATCGAGTGGCTTCAGATTTTAATTTAGTGGAAGCGTTAAAGAAAGCAGATGATTCCCTGTGATAAGTTAAAGCAGATATCTTCTAGGTGAAAAGTTAAAGTCATTTATTAGAAGAGATAGTGCTGTGATATTCTTCAAACTGACGCCCAACACGAGACCAGAATCTAAACGATCAGCCTTGGGCTCACGATAGAGAGATAATTTTGAAATGGATGATCACATTTTACACTGGGGCCATAGAGGCAAGAAATGTAGAACACAGTAATTACAAGTTTAGTCTTGATAAAACACTCTCCATCTTGTTTAAGTCAGCAGAGGTTAGCCTGCTCGGATCTCCACTTTTAATTGGTTTTGGACTTGGTTTTTTAGGGGGTGGAGGGCCATGTTCAAATTAGAAGAATCACTGAGAAACTTGAACTGAGAGGGCAAACTAGGAAACAGTTATTTGCAGAAGCTTTTATGGGGATTTGGTCAAACATTCATACCTGTGGAGCGAAAGTTTTTTTTTGTTTTTTTTTAATTAACATGTTGAAAGTTTTCACTTTGGGAGACTAAGGCCAGAAGTTCAAGACCAGCCTGGGCAACATAATGAAAACCTGTCTCTACAAAAAAATAATTATCTGGGCATGGTGGTTTATTCCCATAGTCCTAACTACCTAGCTACTCAGGAGACTGAAGTGGGAAGCTTTCTTGAGCCCAGGAGTTCAAGGCTGCAGTGAGCTATGATCACACCACTGCATTCCAGCCTGGGTAACAGAGTGAGATCCTACCTAAAACAAGAAAGTTTTGTGTCTTGTCAGTGAAGGAAATTCTGTATGCAAGGGAAGCTAATGACATTAAATGTGTGCATATTAACCATTATAGCTTTACTGTCTATCAAGAGTATGTGATCATGGCACTTCCTTGTAGAAAGATTATATTCTATCAATTGTGAATAAAGTAGATATATCATGTTGCTTTTCTTTTTTTTTTGAGTCAGAGTCTCACTCTGTCGACCAGCCTGGAGTGCAGTGCAGTGGCATGCTCATGGCCACCACAGCCTCGACCTGCTGGGCTCAGGCAATCCTTCTTCCTCAGCCTTTTAAGTAGCTGGAACTACAGGTGTGCACCACCACGCCCAGCTAATTTTTATGATTTATTGTAGCGATGAGGTCTCACCAAGTTGCCCAGGCTGGTCTCAAATCCCAGGGCTCAGGCAGTCTTCTCACCTCCACTTCTCAAAGTGCTGAGATTACAGGCTTGAGCTACCGCACCCAGCTATCATGTTGCTTTTCTAGCAGAGAAACTGAATCCCTTCACCCTCTAAATTTGAGTCCTCATCTGATCATTAATACTTATCGTTTGGCTGTTTTCAGCTTTCCATTAAAAGAAAATCAGTAGAATCAAACAAAATTGTAAGACAAGTTCTAAAATAGAAATAGACATTTTGGAAACATCTTTAATGACTTGGCTGCCTTTTGACAAATGTTTGTGGTGTCTTGAAAAAAGCCAAGTTATTTATTTAAAAGCACGCAAACTCTCTGCTAGCTGAACCCCATCGTTTAACAATAAATGATGCTTTTGCTGATAAATGATTCTTTTTATGCAGACTAGCAAATGAAATAGGAGATGATGTCTGAAGGCAGATGAACCTTCAACTGCCTGATGCTTCCATCTATTATAATATGGTTAAAAACAACAAACTCCCCAAAATAATCCCCCAAACCACCTTAAATTAATCAGTTCCAGTGCATTGTCAATGAATTGACTGTCTTTATTCTCTCATTGTTGTCTTTCTTTTCTTTCTGTAGCCCAAAAAGGTCAGTGGTTGAGTGGATTTTTTGACTATGGATCTTTCTCAGAGATTATGCAACCCTGGGCACAGACTGTGGTGGTTGGTAGAGCCAGGTAAGAGCTCTTTTGTTTTGGAAGCTCTTTTTCATCCCAACTAAAAATAAAAGGAACAGGCCTTGGCTATATAGATTTTTATTAATAATGTTCTCTTTGTCTAAACTTTAAGAATATCGCATTATGGCCATATCCAAGAAGCATAACTGGAGTACTGGTTCCCAAGTAGAAATTTTGTGTGTCACTTCAATGATGCATTTAATATGAAGGCTGATTTTGATAACATTTCCTTTTTATAATGCTACAAAAAAAAAAACTCTCTGGGGGCTGTTAAGCCCAACTACAATAGCCATAGCCCACCAATGGCTTCCCCTCCCCTAAAGACCTTTTTTTTCAGGAGTAGGTAAAACGCAGACCAGAGACTCGCCTTCTTCTCTGTGTATTCTGAGGAAAGTGCTCTATGGCATTGAGATTATTTAAGTGACAAATGTACTATATTGGATTATAATCAAATCTGGATTGCAAAAAACAAAAAAGTTTACCTGAAACAGGAGTAAATAAAATAAGCTGGAATAGATTGCTGGGATACCCATATTTTTCAAGTGAGAAATTGAAGTTTCTATTAAATTTTAATACCTACTCTAAAAAGTGCTTCACTCAACAGCAAGCTCTGCACGAAACAATCTGTAGCACTCGCTATAACGAGCACCTGCCAAGGCTGATCTTAATCTAGTTCTGCACTGTTGAGACATGCTGCTGAGGGACCCGCACCTGGAGCTCACCTTCCTCTGGGGGCAATCAGTTTTCCTTATCTTGGTGAAAAGTGGCACCTGCTCAAGATTCTCAAACATGCCACATTGGGTTGAGATTTATATTCTAGCCTTGAAAATAATTCTAGGCTTTGTAGTTCTCTAAGTACAGCAGGTCAGCCCGCCTCATGCTACCGGTGACAAGGAGCCATCAGTTAGCAAATCCCACAGACAGGTCTTCCACTGTGACTCTGAATAGGAGTCAGGCCTGAAGTCAGCTTAGACTGAAACTCAGAGACTAACTGCCTATTTTCTTCCCAGTCTTTAACTTCACCCCAGGCTTCTGGTCCTAGTGAGAATTATCCTTTGTCTTTGGAAAGATGGAGGTGAGGGATGCACTGAGTGAGAGCTCTCATACCTAGGACCTATTGGCTTGTCAGAGAGTCCTCACATCACACTAGGACCAGCTTTTTTGGGAATTTGTCTCATCTATTCTGCTTCCCTTTTCCTGTCTGTAAAAAGCATGACAAATTTTAAGCCTTACAAAGCTAAACCTTTGTTAAGGTCTTTAAGATCCACCCATGAGAAATAAGAGAATAATACTTTACACTTATGATTAGAAGAATAGGAATTGCTCTGTGACCAAGATCAGTCAAGCTTGACTTTGGTTAGTTCTGCCATTGTTTATTACAACACTCACTCTTACTTCTCCCTTTCTTTCCATCTGATGAGTTCTGAGCTTCTTACTCCAAACACACATACATGCTCACAAGTATATAAAACACAAATGGAGCTAGTTTCTTTCAAAAGCAATGGCATTTCAAGAAATAAATATAAATGTATTCTTCTGGGATTGTTACTGTAAGTGCTGCCAAAACTCATCTTTGGTATGTATGTTTGGAATATGTGTGCTATTGGCTGTAAATTGTCTTTTATTATTCTATGGCACCTTGTCCAGGGACACACTATAAAACAAGATGTAGCATCTTCATGTGCTAGCCTGATAAAATTTATATGAAGTATAATAGAAAACAGAAGTTGTTCTGAGCTGTTTTCAAGTTCAATAAATAACTATAATACTCGGATAAAGATGTTCTTTATTAGGTCACATGAGCCCTAATATATAAGTTATAAGTTACCGATTTAGGGTGGCTTTTGCAATTACAAGTTTCCAGCTGGATTGTTAATCATTGTGAACAGAAATATTTCTAAACCCTCCTGTGTACCTCCTGCTCGTTGTCTGGTTGTCTAGAGGGCTTTTGATTCTGATTCAGTGCAGGCAAGTGACAAGGGGGTGGGTGGTCTCCACTCAGGCCCCTGTCAGCCCTCTTGTGATGACAAGAATCCATTTCCAGTAGCCAATTTAACAACCAAAGACTATCCTTCATGGAAAAGTTTGTGTGGAGATGCTGTGGGGAATGAGACTATATAACCCATCCTAGCCCCAACCCCAAGGAATGTGATAGAGGGAATAAAGATTGAATCATATTTTCCAGAGTAAGGACTCGCCCTATCTCTCTCTCTCTCTCTCTCTCTCTCTCTCTCTCTCTCTCTCTCTCTCTCTCTCTGTATGTATGTAGCTTTCCCTTTCACTTTCTCTCTCATTCTCTGATTTTTCCTAGAAAGTCTTTATGAGGACTAAGTAAGGAGGGCATCATGGAGTACAGATGGAGAGACTTTGAGCTCCTAAACTATTTTTTAAATTAACATAGCTTTGAGATTAAACATATATTTCTGAGACAGATTGCACCAAGATTACTACTGAAAATTATCCATGAACCATTGCTCTTTTCCATTGAAGGTTAAGGGCTTGTGTATCCTCTTTGCTACTCTTGGCACATATTTCTCATCATCTTCATAACACACCTACATATTTCCCAACCACATGACCAATGGTAAGACCTACTGTATCCTCAAATCTTATCTGGAATCACATCATTAATAGTCCATAAAACTATTCTATTTCAGCAAAGCCAGCACTCATTAAAAGTTACTGAAGGTTTCAGGTTTCTATTACCTTTCAGACCAGTTTTCACTATCTTCACCAAGGAGATACTCTGGAGTGAATTAAGACATTTCATGTAGCAGCCACAGAAGTAGGGGTGTGTGTGTACTAGGCCATTGAGTCTACAAGCAAAGAATCCCCTAGTATAGCCCTTGATTTGAATATAGGAGTGATTCTAAGGGTGGTTTCCCACCATACTTATAGAGTAAATAGTAAATCCATAGAATCTTACATTAACTCTTGGAAGAGTCGAACTCCTCTTGCTCTCTGTGTTTGTTTTTGTTTCCAATTTTTCCCCCGATGTTTTGAGGTAGGATTGAAAAATAAAAGACTAGCTATAATGTTGACATGCATTAGTTTCTTATATGGCTCATTTTTTATCAGGCTTGGGGGAATACCTGTGGGAGTTGTTGCTGTGGAAACCCGAACAGTAGAACTAAGTATCCCAGCTGATCCTGCAAACCTGGATTCTGAAGCCAAGGTAGGTCACTTCGAGTACACTGTGTGCCTGTGCTTGGAGGCTATTTCTGCTGCAGTGCCTGCGGCTATATCAGGAGTGTTACAAACCATCAGTTTCAGAGGGAAGGGCCGCAGCAGAGGGAAGGGCCGCAGCAGTCGTGAATGATTTCAGACCATCATGTGATCACTTTTAAGATGACTTTAGATGGACTATAAGCTAAATTCGACCTGAAAAATTAAATAGGCCTTTGCCATGATCTTGTTGATGCTAGAAAACAGTCTACTTTTGTTGAGGAGATGTTCTTACATGAGACAATACTGAGGGCTCGTTGTTCCCAGAGTCTCTGAGCACACTTCTGAAAAAGCCACCACTAGAATTAATGATGAAGTCTTCCCTAATGCCAGGCATGAACTTTTTTTTAAGAGTAGATTACGTTTTTACATCTTGACACCATTCAGAGAGTGAAGGGCAGGGAAGCCAGGAAGGAGTGTCTATTCAGCAATGTCACATTAAGCATCTGCTGATTAACCACAGAACAGAAAAAGCTGTACTAAGCCCAGAGGTAGAAGGACTTGGAGATTATGTACAACTCACTTGTTTATAGGAGTAGTGTAATGGAGCCATTTAAAGTTGCCTTTGACCAGGCTCGGTAGCTCAGCCTGTAATCCCAGCACTTTGGGAGGCCGAAGCGAGTGGATTGCCTGAGCTTGCGGGTTTGAGACCAGTCCAGGCAACTTGGCAAGACATGGTCCTACAATAAAATTTTTTAAAAATAGCGGGGCATGGTAGCGTACACCTGTAGTTCCGGCTACTTGGAAGTCTGAGGTGGCAGGCTCCCCGGAGCCCAGCAGATCAACGCTGGGGTGGCCATGAGCATGCTATGGTACTCCAGTCTGGGCAGAGTGAGACTCCAGCTCAAAAAAAATAAAAATAAAAAAATAAAGTTACCTTTGAGTATGCAGCCATAGAACCCTGAATGCACCCATGCTCCTGTGATCTCAGAGCTAAAGTTGCCTTTGAGAAGCCCAGAATAAGGGTCCTTAAGCAGTTTGGTTCCCCCTTTTGAATAGAGTTATATTGTAATCAGAACTTAAAAAGAGTAGTATTTAACAAGGTTAAAGATCCAGGATTCTTTTTTACTCCAAAGATGATCTCGATGAACAACAGTTTTTGTTTATGTGGTTTGATTTTGAGCTTTCACTTTTTAATCAGTAAAATCTTGTTCACTTTGGAGAGATTCCCCTGGGATTGTGTTGTTAATTGTATCTTCTTCTTTAACTTTTCCCAATAGATAATCCAGCAAGCTGGCCAGGTTTGGTTCCCAGACTCGGCGTTCAAGACCTATCAGGCTATCAAGGACTTCAACCGGGAAGGGCTCCCTCTGATGGTCTTTGCCAACTGGAGAGGATTCTCTGGTGGGATGAAAGGTGATTGGCCTGGCTGTGGGCTGGAGCAGCATCATTGATTACTCAGCACTGTGCAGTGGAGGGAGGGAGAAAGGGTTTAGATTCAGCAGAACCTGTGGGTGTCCTGACAGCACATCACCCTAGACTTTTGGGGGGTTATTCTCCCTCTGGGATATCTTGTGAGTTGCAACTTGAATGGAAATATAGAATATGTTTTATAATTCCGCACAAAATTTCCGAATAATCTGCTAGTGTTACTAAGGTGAACTACTTTTGTAGATTTCAATTTCATAGGTAGATGTTGAACCATTCTGATGACCCTGGGGAAATACAATTGTTTTTGTCTCTGTCCCCCTTTTCTGGGCATAATCTTTGTTGATGTTACTCTCTAATGCTGTACAGTGACCAAGATAGATACTTAAATTAGCATTTTCTGGAAGGAAAAAAAAAATTCTGTACCAGAGGCTGTTCTTTGTGGCAATTTATGATATGCTTTATTATTATCTAACAAAAGCCCTGGACCTGTGGCTCCAGCATATTAGACCATTATTATAAAGGCTCTACTTTGTGCTATGGTAATTGCTTGGTGATTTGGCAACCAGTATCACCATTTATTGAGAATCCACATGTGTAGAGCCACTGTGGATAGTACAGGAAGAGCCAAAGGAAACACACTCTATCTCTTACAGTAGAGAAACTTTCTCTCCAATGGCCAGAAACACATGGGCATGCTAAGGCAAGAGACAGCATACCTGGAGGATATGAGAGTATATGTTGATGAGTGTACACTTTATTCATCTGAGGGAGAATTGAGAGGATTCTGAAGCAGTAGAATGAGTTAGAGGAATGGAAGGGGAGAGGTGATACTGCTGGAGTAATTGTAGTGATTAGAGAATGCTAAGGATATAGAAAATGAGAAGCAATGAACTCTCAGTAGGGCACCTAGAAGTAGTTTAGGGCAGGAGCACCCCTAGCCTCTAAGGGAGGAAAAGCTCGGGGAAACCACCCTTTTATAGATGATAAGTTATGTGGTGAGAGGTATTTGAAATTTTGCCAACAAATTTCCCTTACCTGAATAGGAAGAGTCCTTTATGGATGGACCTTCCTGGTAAAATATGGACTAGGTTGATTTTTTTTTTTTTTTTTTGGTTTTTGATTGAAAAGTTCTCCTTTGCCCATATTTGCCAGAGAATTACACATTTTTCACTTTTCTTGGAGGAGATTTGGACTATACAGCCAAATTAATATTTATATGCTTTTATAGACTATCAAGGTGAATTTTTTTACCAAGATAATAAATCAGTGGAAATACCGTAAAAAATTGATAGAATAGGTTAAACAAGTAAATTCTACACATCTTTATTGAGTTCTATTTGTAAGGAACTATGTTAGCCACTTCAGCGAAAACAAAAATAAGATAGAAACAGACATTGCCTAAAGGAGACAAGAAAAATGTCTTGAACAGAATGATAAAGCCATACTGTATTAACAAAATTCCAGGCTGTTCAAAAGAGGAGGATACTATATTGATTTTGGGAGAGAAGCTGAAACCCCTTCATTCATATGGGTGAGATTCATGTAGCATTAAATGTCACTTGATCCTAAATTCCTTGGCTGTAATATTTACATCAAGACCTGAATGCAGTGATGTTACTCCTTAGTCACCTATTTGGGTGGCGGGGAGGGTATTAAGAAAGGACCCTTAGCTGGGCGTGGTAGTGCATGCCTGTAGTTCCAGCTACTTGGAAGGCTGAGGCGGAAGGATCGCCGGAGCCCAGCAGGTCGAGGCTGTGGTGGCCAGGAGCGGCCACTGCACTCCAGTCTGGGTGAGTGAGACTCCAACTCAAAAAAAAAAAAAAAAAGAAAGGACCCTTCCTGACACTATTTAGGAGTGAGTCTGCCTGACTATTTTATCCTAACTGGAGTTGAGTTTAAGTTTCCAATATGCCACTTCTAGGATCAATTCTGCTTCATGTTTTGGCTCAGGCCCAGATTGGCTGCTAGTCCTGTAACAATAAGAACAACAACAATTAAGATTCATTGAGCTCTTTTCACCAGAAACTGTGCTAACCATTTTACATGTATTATCTTACATAATCATCACAACAAGCACCTCTAAGGGGTAGGTTGTATTGTTAGCCACATTTTACATAAATTAAGGTTTATGTAAATTAGGTTAAGTAAATTTCCCAAGATCATTCAGCTAAAAAAATGGCAGAGTTGGGAGAAGAAGGTAGATCTATCTGACCCCCGGTAGCACAGTTGGCTGATTTTAAAACCTAGGACCAGAAGCAAATCTATCAGAATATCCTGACTGGGCTCGGTGGCTCAACCTGTAATCCCAGCAATTTGAAAGGCCAAGGTGAGTGGATTGCCTGAGCCTGCGGGTTTGAGACCAGCCCAGGCAACTTGGTGAGACCTCATCTCTACAATAAATCAAAAACTTAGCTGGGCATGGTAGTGCACGCCTGTAGTTCCGGCTACTTGGAAGACAGGCGGAAGGATCCCAGAGCCCAGCAGGTTGAGGCTGCAGTGGCCAAGAGGCGTGCCACTGCCCTCCAGCCGGGTGACATAATGAGACTCCAATTCAAAAAAAGAGTATCCTTAGACTAGGCTGTCAAGCTTCCTGAAAAAGTTATTATCTACTACTTTCCCTCTGCTTTAGGGATGTCCTTGGTTATTGTGAAAAGAAATTGCAAAAGCTCACAAATGAGTTTTTTTTAATTATGGTGAAATACATAACATTTATCATTTTAATCATTTGTAAGTGTAGAATTCAGTGGCATTAAATACATTTGCAGTTTGTATGACTACCACTACTATCTATATCCAAAACTTTTTCATTATCCTCAACATAAACTCTATACCCATTAAACAGTAACTGCTTATTCCTTCCACCCCTTTCCTCTGGTCAGAAATGAGTTATTAGCCTGATATAGACCAGGCCAGTTCTATCTTCTGAATTTTGGTGCTGATGCATACTTTTACATACCACATGAGGCAAATAAGTTTTGAGGAAGATAGAGATTACTGCAAAAGTGGAAGGGAGGAGGAACAGCGCCTTTCATATTTACTACAGGTCAAGATGTTTCCTACATATTATCTCATGTAAAGGGACCTAAACCGAGAGCCTCTTGTCATTCTTCACATCCCTTGGGGAGATGTTTGCAGTTTTGGTTTCAATACTGGCTGGGGATTATGCAGGGAGGGAAAATAAACAATTATGCCATCCCTCAGTGCACACAAACACACAGCCAGGAGCCGACTGCACTGTGGGTAAAATGACTCCAAAATTGTGTGTAATGAGTAGGAAAAGATTAGAGACAGCTCTTGCTATGCTGAAAATTGACATTAGTGGAGGGGGAAAAAAAACTCTTTACTAGTCGGCCTAGGAGGTCTAATTCGAGCAGTAAAATATATAAATAAATAAATAAAAGCATGTCAAGATGGTATTGGTGCTTTTTTTCCAATGAGCTCTATCTGGCCGGAAGGCTATTCAGCATAATGCAAAATTAAATTATAAAAACTGGCTGAATATTTAGATGGAAGAGCCATTTGGAAGCAGTTTATTTAGACGAACCGGCAATGACCCACAACAGGGAGACATCAAGCGTGAAATTTACTAGAAATTAGCACCAGGGTCCCAGCCTCAGCATGAATAGCTTGATAGGATGCAAATCCCAGTGATATTAAGCTGCCTCACTGCTGGTGCTACAGGGTCACTCTCAGTTGACTTTTCATGTTATACTTATTATTTTTTCCTAGGACAGGTTATAAATAACAATAAAAAAAATTTATTGAAAACTTTAACTGAAATGAAAGTCTACTTTAAAATCTCTGATTACTTGGATGTTGAAATACAGTGTCAGCTGGCCATAATGAACTCATGAGAGACATTATGTATATGCACCTTGTGTATGCCTAATGTTTACCTTCAACTTCTAACAGATAATCTCACCAAGCCAGCATGATCTGTTTCAGTTTCAAGAGTATGGGACACCAGAAATACTCTGCCACTCTGCTTCCTTGTTTGGTACATGTGGCTGCCACGGGTTATCAATGTTGTATGACAATGAAGGCCCTAGGCAAGGTTGGTGTCTGGGTGCTGACTGAGAACACGCTGAGAACACACTGTGAAGGCTGTGTGATCACCATTCATGCAGATGTGCTTTGCCCAGAATGCTAGAAACCTTCCAACTCCCGCCTCTCCAGTAAAGAACCTATCAGTATTTTCCATTTTCAGTTGTATTTCTCAGAGCCTGAGAATTGACAGTCAGCATATGCATAGCTTCTAAATTCTGTAGACTGATTTCTACCCTAAACCTTTGGGGATTGCCCCTTCCCTGCTGCTCTTGGCTGTGCTTTTGCTCTCTCTCTTAAATATGAAGAGATTTCAGATAGTTGTGTGTCAGTTTGCTGAGTGTTTCAACCTGCCTTTTAAAATATGTAGTTTGGGGCAGTTGCAATTCAGAATGTGAATGTTGATTGCAGAGTTTGTGTGTTTATATATATATATATATATATATTTCTTTTTTTTTTTTTTTTTTTTTTTTTTTTTTTTTGAGCCTGAGTCTCACTCTGTTGCCCAGGCTGGAATGCAGTGGCATGCTCACAGCTACCGCAGCCTGAACCTGCTGGGCTCAGGTGATCCTTTTGCCTCAGCCTTCCAAGTAGCTGGAACTATAGGTGCACACTGCCACACCTGGCTTCTTTTTTTTTAATTGTCGAGATAAGGTCTCACCAAGTTGTCCAGGCTAGTCTCAAACCCCTGAGCTCAGGCAATCCTCTTGCCTCAGTTTCCCAAAGTGCTGGGATTACAGGCTTGAGCCACTGCGCCCAGCCTTGTTTATATTTTAATAGCCTGATTTGGGGAGGCTTTGATGGTTAGATTGTGGATCTGTTGGTGTTCCAGGTTAGACAGAGACAATACTTTGGTCCCAGGCATGCTAGTTTTAATGAAGAGTAAGTGACAGAGATAAGATTCATATCTAGATCTTTGGGGCTCTAAACTCCACATTCTACTTCATCATTCTTCCCACATTCTGCCTCTTCATTCTTACCACATCTTTTTTTTTTGTGAGACAGGTTTTTACTGTATTGTCCAGGCTGGTATACAGTGGCATGATCACAGTTCACTACAGCTTCAAACTCCTGGGCTCAAGCGATCCTCCTGCCTTAACTTCCTGAGTAGCTGGGACTACAGACACATGCCACCACACCTGGCTAATTTTTTGGGGGGTGGGGTAGTAGAGACAGGGTCTTACTTTGTTGCCCATGTTGGTCATCCTGGCTCATCATTTTTGCTGCTAGAAAAGATGTCCCTTTTTTATTCACAGTGTTGGAGCCTGAAGATATTTGTTTATATCTTATATCGTGTTTCCTAGTACAGTAAGCTAGTCATGATGATGAAAAAGAGGAACCAAAATCCATTTCACAAAAGTAAAAAATGCACACAAACTCATCTTCACTCCAAACTATTTGCATACACCATGAAATCAAGCTTTTTAAAAACATGTAAAATACATTTTAAATAAAGTTTCCCCCTTCCTTTGGGGAACTGGATCTGTTAATCATGTATCATATATATATAATAATATAATTTCATATGCTGTTAGTGTCATCAGTATAAAAAATTTCTGACATTTCTGAACACAGAGGAAGTCACATGTTTAGGAACATTTAGTAATTTATTCAAGTCTCTTTTCTGGTTTTTATTTTACTCTGCCATTATATTAGATTTGGCAAGCAGGTTCCATTAGCCTCATGCCCTCTTTCCTAGCAACAAGAATGATTAGTTGAGAATGAAGTAATAGAACATAGAGTTCAGAACCAAAAAGATCTGGAGTTGAGTCTCATATCTGCCACTTACTATTACTCAACTAAACCTCAGTTTACTTACCTGTAACTTGGGTATATGAATAAGATGATATTCTGTTGGTTAAATGATTTATATGTGTGTATATGTAATTACATTCCCTAGCATACAGTAAGCTAGCCATAATGATGAAAAAGAGGAACTAAAATCCATTTTACAAAGGTAAAAAATACATACAAACTCATCTTCATTCCAAAGTATCTGCATACACCATGAAATCACACTTTTAAAAATGAATGAAAATACATTTTCAATAAAGTTTCCCCATTCTTTTTGGGAGCTGTATCTGTTAATTATAGTTCATATAGAGATTTTGATGTAGATATGTCTTTAACAAAAAGAAGTGAGTAAAAAGGCTGGAAACTGACCTTTAACCTATTTTTTTCTTTTTCAGGTAGAATGACTTCTTGTGCTTTTATTGTTTTATTTTCTTCTTTTATCTGTCTTCCATTTTTTCTCTGTGCATAATACCATTGAGGGCCACTCCTTTCTGTTACTTGTTCTGAGACTGTACTCTTGGCAGCACTGAAAAATGTACTGCTAATTACACAATTATTTTATTATGTAGCACTGGTTGAAATATCCACTAAAGAATTAATTTAGTTAAAATAATTTGAACTGAGCAATTATTTTCATAACCATGGAATTAGCGTAAAGCGCTTAAAGTCCTTTATTCCCTGCTCTTCATACAGCAGTTGTATAATTAGCAGTAAATTTTTTTGGTCTTTGCTTTCCTCCCAAAGGAATAAATGTCTTTGCTCTGATCATATATACAGAGTATATAACCATACACATTCCACTTAGTATAGGGAGTATTTTGGGGGGCAACATGGAATTTCTGCAGTCTTCACAGACCTGCCAGGTTGGGGCAGTGGAATATGTGCCTCGCAGTGAACTATGGTCACTGATGGTTTGTATATTGAGCCATTTTTACTTTGGAGAAGGTGGCAGCTTAATTTGCCAGTAACTACAATGAAAGCAATTTCTATTTGGTTTGCTTTTAACTTCCTGAAAAATGCTTCTTTGCCTTGAATTCCCAGAATTGATTTATTCCAAATTGAGATCTTCTTTTTGATAAGAAAGTTTGAACTCAGTTAAACCTGTTATTTGGTGTTTAGAAAGGATCCATTGTGGCTCCACTGAAATACTCATTAAACATCTGGACTCATAAACCTGAAATTTTAGCAATGTTTAGACTTCAGTGAGCTGGGAAATGGGAAGAAGTCCATAAAAACTTGGGGATTAAATAACTGATCCAACTTTCCGAAAACTAGCTTTACTTACGCATCAGGATCCTTTTCTTCAGGTGTTCTTGGTCTTGGGGGGATTACAGAGTCTACTCTTTAGCAGAATGATGAGGAGGCTTTGCTCTTTTTGTGATATTTTCTATACATTTTTTAAAAGTTTTTTCTGACTGATAACCTATAAAAATGCAACTGTTAAAGAATTTGTTTTTTAGGCAACCCTCTTGGGTCTCCTCTCACTCGGGGAGCTTTTCTGTCCTCTCAATAAATCTTGCTTTCTCAACAACACCAACAAAAAAAAAGAATTTGTTTTTCTTTTGCATTGCATTCTTTCCAAAGGGTGTTTGTACTCATTCATTTATTCAGCATACATTTATTGAGTACTAACTATGTTCAGGCGCTGGGCAGGACAATGGACATACAAATATGAAAAAATAGTTTTTGAAGATAAAATTTTTGAAGGATCCATTTTCGTTAGTTGCACACTTTAAGAGCTTATCCTATGCTAAGTAGCATAAGAGGAATTGAAAAGACCTAGACTAGTTCCTTCCATTAAAAAACTTAACGTAGGTGGTTTCTCTCGCCCATGCCACCAGCTCTGGCATGTCACCCTTTCTTTTCCCCCTTTTTTCTCTAATAAACTTTGTTTGAAAACTTAAAAAAAAAAAAAAAACTTAATGTAGGGGGAGCGATTACATATTGACATGAAAAATAGTCAACGTTTGTAGAGCAAGTATGAATTAATGTGGTGACCTGAGTACAGAAATTCAGGGAGAATATAAAATGGAAATGTAGTCTGGAAGGTTTGCATACTGTCTTGTGAAAGATGATGCATTTCTCTGTTGCTGTCTTATGATTTTGAAGATCGTCTGGAATCTTGAGAAGGATACAGGTAGAGATACCAATTTCTTTAGTCTTTAGGGTAGCCAAACAGGACCTCTGGCCATTAACAGCCTCCTCATGGAGGCATCATGTGCCATACAAATAGTTTTTACGCTGTGTGTGATAGTGTGAACAACAGTGTTCGGAAGCACTGCTTTGAGAAGGATAAATGACCTGATTTCTCATTTGTCCATTCTCTACAGATATGTACGATCAAGTGCTGAAGTTTGGTGCTTACATCGTGGACAGCTTAAGGGAGTGCTCCCAGCCTGTGATGGTTTACATTCCTCCCCAGGCAGAGCTGCGAGGTGGCTCCTGGGTTGTGATTGACCCCACTATCAACCCCCGGCACATGGAGATGTATGCTGACCGAGAAAGCAGGTAGCGTGCCTTCTATATTTCCATTCACTGTCTTTAGAGACCCTCTAGCTGCTGGTTTCCTCCTGAAGAACTTTATAACCAAGAGACCTTTATTTGAATCTGCCCATTCCCGAAGGACTCTAAGCTCTCTAGTGTCTGCTGGCATGTGAAGGAAACTAAGACTCGGGTCAGGCTTTCTCCGTGTAACACCCCTCCATCCCAGATTCTTTTGCCATGGAGTCCTCTCTTACAGGCACCACCAAACTCAGATTCTCTTCTCCTATTTGTTGTTCAGATATGCATGTTCACTATTTGTTTCCTAGGTGTGGCAGAGGGAGCTTAAAGTGAGTTGCAGGGAAGGTCTGAGTTGTTAGTCTGGAGTTCCAGAGTTTTAACCCAGCTCTGCCACTGATCAGTGAGAAACTTGGAACAGTCCCTACTCTCCTTGGGCTGCTTTTCCTTGTCTGTAGAATGAACTGGATGGTCATTAAAGTGTACCACAGTACCCACATTCTGTGATTCCAAATCAAAGCTTCTTCCTTCATTAGTCCAGAGTCTCACTCTGGCATTTTAGGAATCTGGAGGCCACAGTGTTTGTTCTAAAAAAACTGCAAGAGAGAACCTCAGGCTTGTTGGGGAGCAGAACCTGAAACTACTTAAGTAAACAAATCATACCCAGCATCCATTCATATCTGTTCTCCATCCTTTCCTAAGTATATAAACTTCAGGGCATAGTTTCTTGACAGTTTCCGTGCATATTTCTATATCCAATTATTTATTGGAGCACCAGCTTCTCTCTTTTCCCAAAATATTCAGTCTTCTACTTCAAAAACTGCTTAGGGGAATCCAGTAGTTTTACTGTCAAAGCATGGCTAACAGTCTATACTATACTAAGGGGTTTACTATTTTTAAGTCCTAAGCTAGCCTCTGGTTTGGATAATTCCTCTGCATACTTTGCAATCAGACTGTCTGGTTTCAAATCCAGTTCTGCCGCTTGCTAGATTTAGACAAGTCTTAACTTCTGTACCTTAGTTTCCTCATCTGTAAAATGGGGATGATAACTGTACCTTACCTCATAGTACTAATAGATGTAGACAGGGCATAGTAGGATTATTGTGAAGATTTATGTTAGCACTTAGAACAGTACCATGTACATAGTAAACATTAGCGGTAATACTGTAATTTTTAAAAAATTTTTTTAGAGACAGGGTCTCACTCTGTCCCCAGGCTGGAATATAGTGGTATAATTATAGCTCACTGCAGCCCCTCCTGCTGGGACTATAGGCATGCACCACCATGCCCAGTTCAGTTCAGTTTGTTTGTTTGTTTGTTTGTTGAGACGAGTTCTCACTATTTTGCCCAGGCTGGTTTCTAACTCCTAGGCTCAAATGATCCTCCAGCCTTGACTTCCCAAAGTTCTGAGATTATAGGCAAGAGCCACCATTCCCTAGCCATTAACTGTAATATTTTAAGAATAGAAAAGTGTTTTTTTTAAGGTATTTAAGATAAAGTTTCTGATGAGAGAACATCATTGGAATGCACTAGAAGTAACCCTGAGACCTTTCACTTTGCTCATTTCTATAGCAGTGAGCAGAATGTTTTACCTCTTGCTTAGCCTGGCCTAGTATATCTGATCAGAGTCCTACCAGTAAACTGACGGCTGTGGTGTAGGTGATCAGCATCGACCTCTTGTTGTGTAGTTTGAATACTGGAGATGGTTCTCCTGCCACTGTTCCCACAGTATCTTTTTTTTTCCCCTAGAAAATAATGTGATTCCTGTTATCAGCTGTGGGTGGTGGAATCTGTATTCTTTTCCCTTTGAGATGGAAGTCAACTGGTGTGATAATGAGAATTATTTTAATTGCTTTTTACTAGGCCTTTCTCATACCTCACTTAGATACTTCTTTTGTGCCTGCTTTTCTCTCTGGGGTGACTTCTGTGAACCATGGGTGGGCAAAATCATAATGAAGCTATTTCCTGGTCCACAAATTGTAACTGGCCTCATTCTGTTATCTTCTTCCTTTAAAGTGCCTCTATTTCTGTTTTGTTTTGTTTTCTTTCTCTCTGATCCAGGGGATCCGTTTTGGAGCCAGAAGGGACAGTAGAAATCAAATTCCGCAGAAAGGATCTGGTGAAAACCATGCGTAGGGTGGACCCAGTCTACATCCGCTTGGCTGAGCGATTGGGTATGTCTGCAAGTCCTCCTGGCAAATCAATGAGCCATTCAGCTGATTTGTAATGAGTGCATTCATAGGCCAGGGGAGGAGGCACTGAAGCATTTGATCAAATTCATGATAATCTTTATTTACTGTCCTCTATATGGTAAGACCCTGGTAGAATGAGATAGTGGATGTAATAGGAGGGAAAGTGGGCCCTAAAAAAGCAAAAGTCACGCAATTTTTTTTTCTGTTATTTCCTTATAGTACAAACAGCACTTCGTTCTAGGATGTCCTTGTAGAGAATTATTAGCTAGAGTTGCTGTTGGGGGCAGGGTCGCCGGGCAAAGAATCTGCTGGTCTTAAACATGTCCTGTTTCTGCTTGATTCTTTGGACAGCCTGCCTCGTTTCTGAGGAGTGAGCATTGGTGTTCTGGAATAGAAAAGCAGGAGTCCCTACCCAGGCAGTGTCCTGGGGTCATTCTGAGCTAGAGAAATAGAAGTAAAGCTTGTACACTGTGTGCTTCCAAACAGTGCCTGTGGCAGCAATAGCCCTGGGAGCATTCGCGCTTGATGCTCTCAGCTATTACTCTCCTGCTCATTTGTTTTCTGAGTTTTTGGAAGACACTTGCAATTTGAACAGAGGACTAAGCCATGGGAGCCCTGTGTTGCATCCAGAGTCTGAATGAGTTTGAGATTCTTTTAAAAACAATGGTTTTCTGCCCAGGTCTCCCATTGAGCCCCTTACTGTGTTAGTAAAGATAGATAATTACTTGAAGTTCTTTTGTCATGTGTTTTGTTTTGTTTTGTTTTGTTTTTTGAAGGAACAGAGAGATGGTCTTTTAAAGGTAGTGAAACTCACTGAATGGAAGGAGTAAAAAAGAGATATGCCAGCTCATTTATGTTCCAAATGGTAATTTAATTAATGAAGTAATGAGGTATCATTTTTGAACTCCATACCCTCACTATTTAAAAAGAGAAGGAACATGTGAGTGTTTGCCTACACTGTGGAGACTGTACATCCAGGCATCTGGAGCCCTGAGCCCGGTGGTTTGCCAAACATGATGACTTGAGTTACAATAAACCCTGTTTGTGTTCCCATTGTTTGCCATTGGGTAACAGCCACCAAATAACTCTGACCCACTACAAGCTGATCCTGTTATGGGGAATGCACCCATACAACAAGAAATTGGCAAAGTTGTTTCTAACATCTGTTGTCACCTAGAATTGTCAAGGCGGTTTTTTTCTTTCTTTTCCAAACAGGATAATTACTTCTGACCAACCCCATACACTTTAATTAAAGTAACTGCAGCTCAAGAGCAAGTTACTTACAACTGTACATAGAGCTCTAAAAGCTTCAGCCACTGATAAGCATCTCACTTTAGATAGCTCATAATTGCTCCCAGCATCCAGCGATCGTTGCCGCTGTTTTTACCACTAATTCCATACAGAGGCAGAACACCACAATTGCAGGACACAGAGAGTTGCATAATTTTCTTTTTTCTTTTTTTCCTTTTATTTTCTTTTTTCTTTTTGCCGGTTTTCTTTCTGGCCAATTTAAAATTTGTCAAAGTCGGTCTTCTTCTGGATCACTGCCCTTTGATATTTCGCGCACTCCATTTGCCACAAACAAGCCGCAGGGCCGCAGTTCATGCTGACTCTAGCAGAAGCAGAGAGAGCTCCATTTATCTTACACTGCCTGCTGAATTCCTACTCATTAACTGGGGGTTCACTGCCTCTTTTTAACCCCCCAATGGCTGTTATCATCCCTTCAGAATAACTGGGTGGTAGGAAGAGGGATCCTCTCTACATCTGTTTGCAGAATGACTGGACGGTGAGGGGTGTGGAGCTGAAGCCTCTTTCTCTTCAAGGAAAGTGATAGTGCTCCCACCTTCACCCAGCACCTTTTAACTTTTGAAGCACATGGAGGAGAAAGGGAGGAGATTCCCAAGTGATAGCCGTTTAATCATTTGTTACAAATCATCTCATTATCAATTTCCTATCTGTATTGAAGAAAACTGTATTTATTTAACCTTGATCAAAATGGCACTTGAGAAAGAACCCTTAGTCTGCAGAAACAGGCTCTGGCCCAGGGCAGCCTGGGAACATGAGCAGTGTATTTGGAATAAAAATAACTATGTATAAGTCTTGGATATGTTGCTTGCAGGTAAACTGTTTAACTTTTCTAGGTATCAGTTCCTTCATCTATAAAGTGGAGATAACACCTCCCTTAGCTAATATGAGGACCAGATGAATGTATATTTACTTTGAGTCTGCAAAGCATTTTTTAGAATAGGAGTTTCCTTCATTATCTTTCAGTCTTAGTCATTGGAAAAAAGCAGATGACCATGTTTGGTATCTAACATTCTCTATGGCTCAGGCCTACATTTAGAAATATGAGAGAAACAGAAGTAGTAGTCTTCCAGGGAGGGCATAAACACCCCAGATGTATCTGTGACACAACAAATCAGCCTGGATATACTGGGACATATTATGAAGCCAGTTCCTTTGGAGTTCACACTGATTTTGACTCCTTTAGCAATGCCTAGAACCAAAGACTGCCAAAAGCCTTTTTCACAAAGTAGGAGAAAGTGACCTTATTTTCCAGATTGGAAAATTGAGGCTAAAAGGGTTACATGAATCATCCAAGACAGAAAATAAGTAAATGTATATCAGAGCCCAGAATGGAATTCTTGTTCCTTATGTTCTACTTTTCTCAGGATTTCCTCTGATTTACCTCAGCTGAATACTGAGCCTGCTCTAAATTAAACAAGGATTCTTTTCCTTTGTAATCTAAAGCCAATTGCACTGAGAAAATCTGATTTAGGAGAAAGCCCGTAGGAGTGGATGTTATCTTGTGTTCCCGATCTCTTCCCAAATTGGCCTTTACATGAGAGAGTGTACTCACAGATCACTTAGAAAAACCAGTGCACAACTGATTGACTGTATTCAAAAACATAATTACTATTTATTCTCTAAGGATAATGCATAATACCTCGAACTTCATATTTTCCAGAATTTTTATTTTTTTTAAAAAAACCTTTTGTCATTTTATATGTCTAGTTTGGGTAGGAAGGTGGTGAATTACTAGTTTGCAGGTCTATAATTATAACAGAGATATGAAAGTAGTGCACGCATTGATTCCTGAGAGAGGTAAAGGGAAGAATCCACCTCAAAAGAAAAGAGAATGAAGCCAGCTACTCAAGTCTTGCATTGCTGAACCAGTTCTGACCCTAGATTCTCAGAACCAGGACTTGTTAGAGTCACTGTGGGAAAAATTACACCCTATCGTTTTGGATGCCTGAAGGAAATTAAGTTTCTTCTCTAGAAATATAGCTGTAGCCCTCCCAGGCTTTTTTGTGTCTCTCTGGCGTCTTTCTCTGCCTCACAGAGCCAGGAACAGGGAGAATAGCTACGGAATGGGGCAGCCTTGATAGCCTGGCCTCTCGAGTGCTATAACCTGAGGTCCTCTCCTGGGTCCTTACCCTCCTCTTGTGTTCAGAGAGAAATGACAAATCAATTTAGATGGAGAGAGAACTATCCAGCCTAAGTGTGAAGCAATTGCAAATTTCCCTCTGCCCCACTCTCTCAATACAAAGAGCAGAACACCTGGGCAAAGGAGCCACTTAAGGAAACTTGTTCCCAGTCATGGCCCCATTCCCAGACAGCTGGGCAGCCTGCCATGCAGCACCTCGGCCATGCCCACACAGAAAATGTCCTGACAGCATGCCACAGGCAGCAGCAGCACAGGCTGAGCACTGCTGCTGCCCCTCACCTGGTCCTCCTAGGCCTGCCCAGCACCCAACATGCCTCTGGCCCAGGGTGTCCCAGGTGCAGGTGAAGTATTGTGATGGCAGGTAAGGATACACTCATCTGTAGAAATCTTCAGTAATTTCTTTCTCTCAAGCCCTCTCTTTAGCAGTCAGGATGACAGGAAAAGGACTGTTCTTTGGGTTCATGGGACTCAAGGGTTAAACTATTTTTCTGGCAGAGGAGATCAAAGTATCTGAGCTGTGTTTTTCCATCTCTTGTGTCCATCTTCAAGATGCTGTAAGCTGGAAAGAGTCGGGGTAGCTTGTTCAAGGCAGAAGGTATGTCCTTTCCTGTAAAGTTGAGACTAGGAAAGAAGTTTCATTACCCATGCCTAGGAAGTGGCCTCCCATCTCTCACCTGTTGTACATAAAGTGTCCTCACTGGCACTGTAACCGCTCTGTCCTCTGTGGTAAGGTGGCTAATGAGAAACAACACACAAGACTTTCTATCATGAAGGTGGTTGATATGGGATCTTGTCTCCTCTCTTAAGTTAGCAATAGCCTACAACCTGCCTTCTCACATTGATTAGAAGCTATTTGGCTTGTTGCAATTTAGTGCAATAGTGACATTTCTGGGAAGAAGAAGGGGCCATTTTAGCCTGACCCCTTAATCTGATTGTATTTGTATAAGAACATGGACTTGCCTTCTCCAGTGGAGCAGTGATTCACGATTTTGTTAGGCCAGAGGGACCCGGCAGACATTTTGTTGGAGCAAACCCAAGAAAAAGCTGTCATCAGAATATATCTGAGAGACCCTCTTCTCCACTTGGTCCCAACTGACTCAGATCCCCGTATCCTGACCTACCAAACTTAAAGAGAAGAAAATAATAGATAATGCAGAGGCATATCTCTACCAGAATTTAAAGAATTCTATGCTGTTTCCTGACTCTTGAACAGGTAAGTTTGTATGGGAACACAGGGAAAGAGCTGAAGGAGGAATAATTTTAATTCCTATTTGGAAATCTCTGGGTTTACTATATTAGTTTTTAAGAGTATGAACAGCAGAGCACTAACACTATTGCAAGGAACTTCAGGGTTAACATCCCTTGAGAGGATTGCTGTTAAAATCAATATGCAAATGAAGTTGTATTTAGATAGGTATGGCCCCCTTTGAAGAAAAGTAGATATATGAAAATGAGATATTAAAAAAAACTAGATACATTGGGAGAAATTATTCCCATTACAAAAGGATTATTTGCTTTACCAAAGGATTCACTG